CTAGCCTGGCCCAAATGTTCTACATAAAGTCCTGGGCCCAAGTGAGTAATGTTAAAAGGAAGTGCTAGGTTTTCTGTTGGAAGTATACAGAGGACAAGCATGCTCATTAATATCGTTGATAGGGATGATCTTTTTTGCCTTGTGGATGTGTTCTGGGATGATTCTCCTGTTGATGTGTTCGTCGGTAAGGGAATAAGTTGATGCACATTCTTTTTGCTTGATTGCCCATGTGCTTTCTTTAGCGTTACTATTCTGACATTTCCTTCTTTGTCTGGGTGGGTGTCCGTAATTCGTGCTAGTGGCCATTTACTGGGGTTTATGTCGTTTTCCTTGATTAAAACTACATCTCCCACTTGAGGATTCTCTTGACCATTCTGCCACTTGTATCTTTGCTGTAGATTGCTTAGGTATTCACTTGACCATGAACGCCAAAGATCCTTTTTCATTTTTTTGTACCATTCTCCATCTGTTTGATAGATTAGTGTTGATGTCTGCTATGGCTGGATGCCCAGGAGTTAGGAGATCTTGGCCAACCAGAAAATGTCCTGGGGTAATGACTTCTAGATCACTGGCATCTTCAGAAAGTTGGCATAGAGGTCTTGAATTAAGACATGCCTCAATTTGACAAAGCAAGGTGGTTAATTCTTCGAACGTCAGTGTAGTGTTCCATGTTTCATCGATTTGACTCCTGCTTCCCAAAGACCTCCCATGTGCGGAGTTGCGGGTGGAATGAAGCTCCATTTGGTTCCTAGTGTGGCTAGTTTGGCTTGGATTTCGTTGTCTTGGATGATGTCTGTTTTTTCTTGTTCTAATAAATTGCTGGCTCCCACGAAGTTGGTGCCATTGTCACTGTACATAAATGCACAATGACCACGGCGGGATGTGAACCGGCGAAAAGAAGCAAGGAATCCCTCTGTGGTAAGATCACTTACTGCTTCCAGATGTACTGCTTTAGTGGCGAAGCAAACAAATACGGCTATATAGCCTTTATATGATTTATGTCCTCTGCCTTTGGTAGTACGTATAGCTATTGGGCCTGCATAGTCGACTCCAGTGTGATGAAATGGTGGCGCTGGAGTAATGCGAGGAGTTGGTAAATTTCCCATCAATTGCTGTGCGGTTTCCCCTTTGTAACGGATGCATGTTGGACATTTGTGTAGGATATTGCGTATTGTTCTTTTAGCATTGATGATCCAGTATCTGCGTCTGATATAGGCTAATGTTGCTTTGTTTCCTCCATGCAGTGTTTGCTGATGAGCGTGTTGGATTATTAGCGTTGTAAGGTGAGTGTCGTGAGGTAATATGATTGGGTGCTTTTGGTCATATTGGAGTTTGGAGTTTTCTAGTCTGCCTCCAACTCTAAGTATCCCGTTGCTATCCAGAAATGGGTTAAGGTTTGTTATCTTGCTATTCTTGAGAAGTTTGCCCTCTTTTTTGAGGGCTTCAATATCTGCATGCATTGTTAAGAATTGTGTAGTTTTAACAATCTTGTTGGTTGATATCCGAAGTTCTTCTACTGTGAGTGTTTTACTGGCCTTATGTGGGTTGAAAATTCGTAGGCAATAGGCTATTACTCGTATCATGCGAGTAAATGATGAAAATCGGTTGATGATTGCTTCAGAATGTACCAATGTGATTTTGAAACATTGTTTTTTCTCTATCTCGGTGTTTAGGATGACCTCGTTTGTTGGCCATTTGGATTGAATTGGTAGCCAACTGGGTCCTTCCCACCATAAGACGAAATTTTTTATTTTTGATGGGCAGATGCCCCTTGAGATTATGTCTGCTGGGTTATCATTGGTAGCGACGTGTCCCCATTGTAAGGTTGGAATCAGTGTGTTTATTTCTCCAACTCTATTTGCTACAAATGTCTTCCATCTAGATGGATCACCTTTTATCCACGAAAGAGTTATCATGGAATCAGTCCAGGCAAATTGGTCCGCCTTCTCAATGTTTAATGCTGTCATTGCGCGTTGCATCAGTCGTGTCAGTAGTACTGCTGCACATAATTCGAGACGTGGTAGCGAAGTTTTCGTGCGTACTGGCGCTACTTTTGATTTCGCAGTTAAGAGAGTTATGTGCACTTTTCCTTCTTTGGATATGGCACGAATGTAAATGACAGCTCCATAGGCTCTCTCAGAGGCGTCGCAAAACCCATGAAGTTCCATTTTTTGAGTGTCTGATTTTGAGGTGTGAATCCAACGCGGAATGCGGATTGTTTCTAGTTCTTTTAGATGATTATAAAAGGCATTCCATTTCTTGGTTAGGTTTTCTGGAACAGTTGCATCCCAATCCAAATCTTTTAGCCATAGCTCTTGAATTATAAGTTTTGCGGAGATGATTACCGGTGCGAGCCATCCAAGGGGATCAAACAGTTTTGCTACTTCCGACAGTATATTCCTTTTTGTGTATTTGGTTATAATGGCAGTTTGTACTTTGAAACAAAATTTGTCATCATAAGGGGCCCAGCACACTCCCAAGGCCTTTTTTATGCCATCTTTAGTGATGTCTGTTACGGTCTGGTCTTGTAACTCTTCAGGGAGACTCGACAGTAGTTCTTTTTTGTTTGTTGACCATTTTCGTAGTTTCATTCCTCCAGACTTAAGAATGTTGATTATTTCGCTTTGAAGTTGAGTGGCTGATGCAATGGAATCACTTCCTGTCATGAGATCATCAACAAAGAAGTCTGTTAAGATGGTGTTCGACGCTGAGGGATATTTGTTTTCTTCATCTATGGCTAATTTTTGCAATGTTTTTACTGCGAGATAAGGTGCTGAGGCTGTTCCATATGTGACTGTCGTCAAGGCATATTCTTGGATTTGTTGATTGGGGTCAAATCGCCAAAGAATCCGTTGGTAGTCTTGGTCTTGATCGTTGATGTAGATCTGGCGATACATTTTTTCCACATCTGCACAGAACACTACAGTGTGTTTTCTCCATCTCAAAATAATTTCAAACAGATCTTGTTGCAGTCTTGGCCCGACATGCATGGTTTCATTTAGGCTTGTACCGTTGGTTGTTTTCGATGATGCATCAAATACCACTCGGAGTTTAGTGGTGATGCTGTCTTCTTTAATGACCGGCTGATGTGGAATATAATATTTTCCTTTGTTGTGTTGGCTTGGAGGCACCAACTTCATGTGTCCAAGGTCTAAATATTCCTGCATGAAGTCATGGTATTGTCGCCTCAAGGCTTCGTGTTTGTGTTTTCCCAACTTGTTCTCGAGCTGCATGAGGCGGGCAACTGCTTTGGATCTTGAATGACCCAATTGTGGGGGGTTTTGTTTGAATGGAATTCTTACTGTGTATTTTCCATCCGCTGCTCTAATGTGGGTTTGTTCATAGAATTCTTCGCATGCAAGGTTTTCTTGCGACAAAGGCTTTGTGGCCGTTGAAGGAATTTCTTCATCCTCCCAAAACTTGGTGAGTTGTTGGTCTTCCACTCGGCTCACTGTGCATATTATTGTATTTTTTTCGCTGTTGGCTCTTTTTATGCTTCCAGACAGGATCCAACCCAACTTTGTTTCTTGTCCTAGAAGACCGGCATTGGTTTTGTGGATGCCCTCGTCTATTATTAAGCTAAGTTCTTCGGCTCCCAAGATTGCATCAATGGGTCCTGGTATGTTAAATGTTGGATCAGCTAATGGGAGATTCTCCCATGCTGATGGAATATTTGACTCCAAATGTTGAAATGGAAGAATTTCTGTTAATTTTGGCAGTACCATGAAGTCAATCTGAATTGTGTAGTTGCTAGGGAATCTGGGCAATAAAGTACAGGTTACTTGTGATCGGCATATTTTTGAATCTCCCCCTCCTAGTCTTGAAATTTCTTGGGCGATCTTTTTCCGAGGGACTCCTAACATTTGAGCTGCTTGTTCAGTCATAAACGCGCCCTGCGATCCTTGGTCGATTAATACCCTAAGATATTCAAGGTTACTGTTTCTTGTTCGTGTGCGAACGAGTGCTGTCGCTAGTAGAGCCGTTTTATCGCTTCGGTTAGAATGATCTACCCTTACGATTGGTGTTTTTGTTGAGATGGCATCTTCTTTTTTGGTGCTTATGTTTGCCACAGTTTTAGTATATTTCTTTGGTTGTTGTTTATATTCTTGGTGTAACCATGTATGATGGCGTTGGCCGCATGTGTGACATCGTACTTGGCTGCTGCATTTTTCTTTGAATCCATGTTGAAGACAATTGAAACACAGCCCTTTTTCTTTTACTAACTGTATGCGTTCTTCGGTTTTTTTATTTATGAAGGTTGGACACTTGAAGATTGTGTGTGATTCTTGGCAGATACCACAAGAGTTTGATTTTTCGTTGTTTCGAAAAGTTGTTGAATTGAATGTGCTACGAGGATAGGGGTATTTAGTAATCGTAGCGACAGGGTTCGTGGTAACTGTGTTTTCCAATGATTGAAACCTCCTTTCAAGAAATTTCATTAACTCCTCAAGGGGTTGTACTTGAGTCGGATGGGCGAGAGACTGTTCGTATAGTTTGTTTGTCTCTGGATCCCATTTTCGGCTGATGATTCGACCAATGATGGGTCCCCATGGTTGAGTATCTATGCCCAAATTGTTTATCGCCTTTAGGCATTCGTGTATGACATCGTGAATCTTTCTGATTTGTTGTAGTGATTCTTGCTGTACTTTGGGAATGTCCAGTATTTGGTCCACCAATTTTGCTACTATGAGCCTATTGTTTTGGTATCGATTTTGTAATAATGCCCAGGCTGTTGTATAGTTTGCGTCAGTTATGTGGAGATGTTGGATTAATTTGGCTGCTTCTTCACGTACATGTGTTTTTAAATATTGCATCTTCTCCACGTTTGAGATGGTAGTATTTTCATGGATCACCCGGCAAAAGACATCGTGGAAGGATGTCCAATTTTCATAACCACCTTTAAATGTTGGTAGCTGTATTTTTGGCAAAGTAATGTTGGGTTTGTTATTTGCCAAGGTGCAAGAGATTTTGATCTGGATTTGTTCACAAATTTCTTCCACTCTTTGTTCCATTGTCCAGAAGGTATCCTCTGTAAAGTAGGGATGGTCTGTTACTGTGCCTTCCGCTACAATTTCTTCATTGAGCTCAATTATTGATGTCCACAATTTGTTGACTTTTTGCAGCAAAAATTCCAATCGAATTTTGGGTTTCTCTTCTAGTAATTCGGAGTTGATGGTGTAGATGGTACGATCCAGCATGTCAAAGCGAACGTTTTGTATGCGAATACGTCTCGCCTGATCATTGGTTCCTGTATCTCTTTGTTCCACTGACGATTCAGTACTGGGAACTGCATTCCTTGATTCTGTCGTGGATGCAGCAGGGTGAATGTCCAACGAAGGGGTTGTTCCTGTTGACGGGCCTTCTTTTGGATAAATTGTTACGTCACTGGGATTTGGGGCTGCTTTAGGACAGTTTTCCAGGTACTTCATTATCTCATCCTGAAGCTTTTCCATTTGACCAAAGTACTTCTGCACGATGTAGGGGTGTTCTTTTAAACCAAAATTTTGGATCTTCTGATGATTTTCCTTGGCTTGATGTAGTAATTGCATCGCAAGGGCACTCCTTTCTTTTAAGTACGCTTGTGTTTTTCGAGAGGGTGAATCCTTTTTTGTATTAGTATACAGTTGACTCAACTGTTTGCTTATGCCTTCTTGAAGAAGACATAGTTGGTTTGTTGCTTCAATAATTGCTTCTTTGCTCATTCCTTCTTGGTGGTTGACTTCCCAGGTGGATGGTTGATCGCCAGGGCCGGGCATCTTGGATCTGTTCTTGCTCTGTTTCCAATGGGTCCGGTCCAAATAATTGTAAGTTCTTTGCTTGTCGGCGTGCTTCCCAGTGAAGGTCTAAGTACAAGCGCCTAGGGTCGTTTTTGATTGTTTTTGGTATCTTGTAGTGGTATGTTTGTAGTTCTTGCCCGCAGTCTATTGGACTTAGCTTCCAGTTGATTGATTGGGGTTGATTGGTATATTTTCCTTTCCAACAGCGTGGGTCGTTGCTCACGGGGTTGTACGGGGTGTCGGAGTAGGTATCTATGCCCTTTAAGTTAATTTTAAAGGGCCTTTTCCAGGAGTTTGATTGTTGATGTGCAGTTTCTTCTGGCTTCATTAGTTGATTCAACGTTGTTCGAAGGACCATGAATAACAGCAGTGCTGTTATGTTAATGTTGACCAGAGATAATTGATAAATTATCTGCTTGTTGTTTACTACTGTAGAACGCAGCCTCACGTTCTAAGGGTTTGTGGCTTGGGGCAATAGTAAAGTCGAGTTTGTGAGTTAAAATGTAACTGGTTTTATTTATTAAATTATCACTATTTATATACATAATTTTGCTAACCTAAGTAATATTAACTTATATTTGTGTGACCACATTTGGTAACAATACAGGTACAAAAATGATTACTTTAAGATTAATTGAGGTCGAAATTTATAATTTTGCTGATTGACAAATAGTTGATTTTAAAACAAATAATTTGGAACACTTAAATTTAATTTAAATTATTAAAATTTTATATAATTTTATGTTTAAATCGCCAGATTTAACATATTATTTAATATTATATCGTGAACAAAAAAAATCCTTAATTACCTTATATAAATAAAAGGATTAAACACAATAATTATTATCCAATGACTTAAAAAAAATACAATTTGTTATTAATGTGTGCGTTGTATATTTTAACAACATTTTTAATGTTTCTAGGTTATTTTTAACAATTAAGAATAAACTTAAACTACCAGACTTTTTAGACACCCTAGGCCTGTATTTTTACAAAATTGTGTATGTTTTTTTAATTTTAAGGTCACTTTTATTCCTAATTAAAAATGTAAAAAATAATATTCGTACTTGGTATACAATATACACTATAGTGTTGGCTATTAAAAGAAATATATTTACTGTAAGTTTCTCCATGATTCCCACATTAATAGTTTTTTAAAAATAAAAAAACGATAAATTTTGTATGTTTCCCTAAAAACGTCCTTAACATTTTTTTAATGCTATGGGGGTGAAATAGTTAAATAATAATATTTATAAAAGATTAGTATGGTTTTTAGATTTTTTTAAAATCTGTTTTAAAAATAACATGCATGCTTAAATTGTAAACAGAACCTTTTCCTTATAAAATATGATTAAGTGACCTGTAAACATGTTTTTAAAAATCTGGATAAATTCATTGTGACCTTTCTAGTAAAAACACAATTCAGCGTTTTTAAAAAAATACCAATACCCAAGTCCTTTTTTATAGCTATACAAAAGAAGGTCTAATTATTTTTTGCTTATAAACAATTAATTTAGACCATAACCAACTAGAAAAAATCAATTTTTTAAATTAAGCACAACTCATCAATTATACAATATTGTACTATTAACAAAGTGGAGGAGTAGACATAGGTTGTCTATGTAAAAATATAAAGAACAGTAATTATAAATATTAGGTGTGAAATTTAAAAAAACGAGTTTTCGAACGAACATTTTTTAAATAATCGTTCTTAAAATAATAGTAGCAATTCAAAATTTGTTTCTTTTTTGGAATTGTTTAGTAATTTTACGTTAAATTTAAGACTTGATTAAATTTAAAAAATGTTAACCTACAAAATACCTGGAAAGGACCCTAATATTTTCATTTTTATCTTCTCAAAAATGTTTGCCCGATCTTGTTGTTTCCAATAATTTACGTTTTCACCTCATGATCTCTTTATTAAGGATAACTGGAATGTGTTTCGGAAAATTGGGCACAAAATATCGAAATCGCCGAAATCCGTGCATAGTGGCGTACGTTTAGCGGTTCGACGTTGGCAATTACTCGAATTTACGACGTCAGTTTCCATTTTCTACGATTCGCACACACATCTGTCCTGAATAATTGGTACGGCGGTTGCTTCCGTAAAATTGCTTTGTGCGAAATAATCCCGATTAGTCGCGCTCCGGACCACCCTACAGTCAACCCGGTTTTACACCATCCGCGACAAGTTTAAGGATACAGAAAATGTACAATTTCAGTGAAATTATTTCACTCGAACCTTTTTTAAAGAAAATTACAATACAATAAGATATAAAGTGGTCCAGTTAATTATCATTAGATGCTCAGATACAGTCTAATTTCAATCTAAAATTAGTATTTTTACTAGTGTTGCAACGGTTACGGTTACGGTTACGGTTACGATTAATTCACGGTTTTCAATATTATACGGTTAACCGTAACCGTATACGGCATTTACGGTTTTTCATGCTACTTTGTAAATGCATGTAAAAAGAAGATTGAAGAGTATTTAACGTTACCAAATATACCACATACGTCAAATCCGTTTACATTCTGGAAAACGTGTTACACGTTTTGGCGTTTAAGAGTGTTGGCACTAAGGTATTTATCATACAAATCATTGTCAGTAAATTTGGAGAGGTTGTTTTCGACTGCAGGTCTTGTGCAAACACCAAATAGGAACGGGCTGATTCCGCATAATTTGCAGATGTTATGTTTTTTAAATAAAAATTTTGAATATTAACTTTTAATTTTTTTATTTTTTTAAATATATTTTTCAGGTACCTACTTAGGTTTTACTTTACTGTTTTTAGGTTTAAAATGTTACTCATTTCCTTTTGTTTTATAGTTTTATTAGAAATTCTGTTTTTGTTCTACATTATTATTTAACCTTTACTGAACGTGTGTATTAATTTAATTTTAAACAATAAATTTATTATTATTATTACAAAAAATAAAGTTAACTTTATTTTTTGTAATTCTGTATTTTTTTGAATAACCGTGAATTCATTCGTAACCGTAGAGCTAACCGTAACCGTAACCGTAACCGTAAAACCAGAAACCGTTGCATCACTAATTTTTACATACAAAATTTATTCTGAAGTTCAAATATAGAATTTAATATTTTTATGTGTATTTGTAACATCTAATAGTATATTATGTATCAATTTTGATAAACGCCATTTTAGTCACAAATTTAATTTAGGCACGAGCAAGCTTGCGAGCGAGTGCTTAATTAAACGGCTTTATAAACGAACTGCATACTATACTTTTTTTACGACAAATACTTAATATTATCTAAAAATTATTTAAATTAAATATTTGTATACAGAGACATCTACAATAGAGTAACCAAATGATAAATTTGTATGTGTAAATCGAAATGTATCTCTTGAAAATGGACTGTTTAAATCCGATATAGAAACAGTTTGTTACAGTGAAAGTACAGAAAATGTTTTATGGGTAGGTACTCCACGGTCGGTGGAGTCTCCACTCGTAACTAAGTTAAATCTAGTTTACTGCCGGTAGTGATTCCCACGAGAGTCTCGTTTTCGAGAGTCTCGCATGGTCTCGTCTCGTTTTCGAGACGAGACTCGAGACGATATTTGGACCGGACAAGACGAGACGAGACTTTTATTGGTCTTGTCTCGAGTCTCGAGCGAGACTTCTGAAGTCTCGTGCGAGAGTCTCGCAGGAAAATATTTCTGCGAGCGGACTTGATCGTCAGGCGGTGTTATTAAATAAACGTTTGACGGTCATTTTCTTTTGTCGGGCCGCCGGAGCCGCCTTTGCATCCCACTTTGACTGTCAAATTTAGCGATATGTATGTGTAAGTAAATAAAGACAATTAATTGTTTCGACTTTTACTTGATGAAACTCCATGTTAATAATATGTTAATATAAACTACACTGTTTAAAAGTTTCACTTTTTTATTTAAATATAACAAGATGGGGCCAATAATTAAAACTGAGTTCGATCCAGAAATTTCAAGATATATACAAAGTTTATTTTCATCAATTAGAGGGACAACGTTTAAAAAAAAGAAAAGTCGGATTTTGTAATCGATTTTGATGTCTTGTATGCAGTAAATCCTAGCCCTGTCGAAGGAGAATGGATGCAGGAGCTTCAAAAATATTATTCTATTCCCCGGTGTAATAAAACCACAGATATATTACAATGGTGGAAAATTCATGCTTCTGAATTGCCCATTCTTAGTTTGATGGCACGAGATCTCCTAAGCATACCGGCTACTTCAGTCCCGGCGAAAAGATTGTTCTCACGTGCTGCGTTAACTATAAGAAAACATCGAAATCGCCTTAATAATGAATCTGCACGATGTTTGTTATGCCTAAACGACTGGGTGAAAAACAAAAATATTTGCGATCCAGAAAGCTGTTAGCAGATTTGTTTCCAATTATTCACAAAATGTTAAGATTTCGTTTTATTTAAAAGTAATATTTCAAATAGATGATGCTATCTAAAGTTGTAATTTTCTCTTCCCACCCTTACATTATAGCAAGTAGGTAAGTATCCGGGATACTTACCTACTGCATCCACAAACAAAATTATCCATGAAGGGATTTCGAGACTTTTGCGAGACTCTCGTACGAGAAACGAGACGAGACGAGACTGGAGGCTGCGAGACGAGACTTGATACGAGACTTCTTATTTCATCGGCGAGACGAGACAAGACTTTATGAAAGTCTCGTCTCGTTGGTCTCGTGGAAATCACTGACTGCCGGCGTAATTAAAAGGTCAGTACAATGTTCATATAAACTTTTCAAATATG